ATTTATCTGGTACAACTAAGATATGCACATACAAATAATCTTTTCAAGATCTTATTAAGATCTTGCTTATCGGTCCCAAGATTTCAAGATCTTGCTTACAAGATGTTCGACTAGGGGTGAGTCTTCTTTTCATCAATAACCACACCCACGCGCTTTTGTCGAATTTGATCTTATCAATTGTATTCGACAAATTCGAATTATTTAAAAAGGCTTTTTGAAAAAGATCAATATTTTTCTCAAGTCTCATTTAGTATTGAAAATGTCAATGTACAAAACTAATATTACTTCACTAAATATGATACAAAATAGCATGTTACACTGTTATTTTCTATAGTGATGCGTTCATCACTCCCTCTTCGTTTTGCATTCATATTTCTCAGTGAAGTAATATTAGTTTTGGATAAAAATCATAGAGTATAAACAATTCAAGATGAACTACCATATTCAGTAACTCAAATAAGCATAAATCCTCATGTTCTTTTATAAGCTCCATTAGCCGAACTAAAATCGATTTATTTCAAAGAACGTTCTCGAAAGATTTTTTTCATATATTTTCATCCACAATTGTTCTTGAATATTGCATAAAGCTTCTTCTCAAGCCATCATGATCTCATCAAGGAAACATACTTTTGCATTTTTTAAAGTACATAAAGTAACTAAAAATATATGGCAATATTGGTTTAGTCTAAGACAAAAAATTTTGATAATTATTTCGAAAATTTTTCGTTTGAAACTTGTGTATCATCATTTCTATATTGATGTTAACAATAAAATACTGTTCTTTTTTTCCTACTACTCATTCGGTCGCATGTTATAGCGAAAGAAAAGGAAGGAAAGAAATTTTCCTTTCTTGACTCATCGTCATCTCAAAAGAAAAACCAAGAAAAATTTCACCATCGATTCGCAAATGCTTAGACAAACGAAAATCAAGTGAGTAAACAATAATGAAAATGGTATTAAACTGGTCGCAAGAAAAAAAATAGCGAAAAAAAAAGAGATCTGACAATCATATGAATTTCAACATTCTCAACCTAGCGTGATGAAGAAATTTTGATGCATAGAGAAAAATAATTCATGTTTATGTAAACTAACAAAAATAATAGTAAATCAAAAATATTCAAGAATAAAATCAGCAACAAAGCTTTATGTTTTTTATGCAGATATCGGTCCTTGCTAATTCTCTAATCTCGAACTCTACATCTTATTACTTAATGGAGTCACTTAACGCGACATCTGAAACAATTTCGATATTTTCTTTTTGTAGATATTTTTTCTTTTACTATTCTTTCGTTCGCTATTTTTTGCTTTCGGTCATTTTTATACATACCAATCATGACAGAAAAGGTTTTTTCCTATTTGTTCGATAAAAACATGAGCATAACACAAAATTATTATTTTATGGCAACTAAGAAAAGAAAAACATGTTTGGAATCCTTACCCGATGAGCTCTTACTCGAGCTATTCAAGTACGTCGATATTCGAGATCTATTTCGTATTTTTGACGATCTCAATTCTCGTTTCAAACGATTACTCTTCGACAAGTATCAATCTTATCATATAGATTTTCAATCAATCTCTAAAACTGATTTCGATTTATTCTGTAAAAAATATCTATTATTAATTGCTCAACAAATTAATTCATTTTGCTTTAGTGATAATGATGAAACTCCTAATTTATTTGATAATTTTCTATCGAATGGTTTTAATCTTACCCAATTTCCTAATTTAAATTCACTTTCATTCTTTCACGTTGCTTATATAAAAAGAATTAATACAATTTTCACAAATTCGTTCTATTCTATGTCAATTACTCGTTTGAAATTTAACAAATGTTATTTTGGACTAACACAAGATTTTATTCTCTTGATAAACTATATTTGGCGTCTACCTAAACTTCGACATTGTGAATTAGATGTTATTGATATTTATGATAGAATGTTTTCTGGATTAACAATAGTTTCATCATCGATAAAATTTGTTTTAGTAAAATCAATTTTTTTTCAGTCAATCGATCTATCGAATTTATTCGAACGTACACCTCATATTCAACATTTACATGCAACACTTTCCGAAGTCAATATTCAACCATTAACAAATATTGCTTTATCAATAATAAAATTGAACATTTTTGTTCGTTCGTCACCATTCGGAATGATTGAATTATTGAAAAAAACGCCAAATGTACGTCATTTAACTGTTGAATCTTGGGATTTTTACTTCAATGGATATCAATGGAAAGAAACTATTGAGAATTATTTATCAAAAATCAAAGTATTTCGATTTAATATGGGATATTATTTGCCGAATAATGAAAACATGTTACAGCAACTTGAAGAAATACTTAACACATATCGAACACCATTTTGGCTCAATGAACATTGTTGGTATGTTCGATGTGATTATAATCGAAATAATCGAGACGAAAATATTCATTTATATACATTACCGTATTGTTCCGATAGATTGACTCATCTAGAATCTGATACCTGGTACAAAACAACTTGTTCGAACGATCGTCACTATTTATCCTATGATTGTGTACAGGAACTTGCGCTCATGTCTACCTTCTCACCATCGATACATTTTTATAATATTCGTTCTCTATTTATATGTTTGACTAAGGATCTTAATATTTGGTCTTCTATTCCTACAATGTATGATCTAACTTCATTGAGTTTAGAACTAAAATATTATAGTCCACAAAGTCATATTATTCGAGCTCAAATACAAACCTTATTTGATCGAATGCCTCGACTTTATTCGTTGAGAATGAATAAAAGTTTAGTTTTACATTTGTTAGAATCAAAAATTACTCATAGATCGATTCGTCGACTTGACTTAATTCATAGTTCGGATTGGGAATACGACAGTGCAGAACTTTTTCTATTAGTCAATTCACCATTGGGAAATCAATGTGAAGTTCTTTTCATAAAAGTTTTATGTCCAAAAAATATTCTTGATCTTATCAATACAATGTCAAATCTTCGAGCGTTAACTTGCTCGATTGCTCCATTTCGACAGTTGAATTCCGATGATGATGATGATTCATCATCGGAATTGAACAAGGACGATCTTCTCTGGTTACAAAATCATTTGTCATCTACATGTTCTATTCGTTATAAACCTCTTTGTCAAAGCAATATTCAATTATGGATTCAACAATATATAGACCACTAAAATTCCTGTCAAATGAATAAATTTATTCAAAAGACATAAGAGATAGACAATATTTGCGTTAATATTCAATTATTTATCTTTTCAATGTATGAAAATCTGTTTACTTACTTTCTTTAATCATAATCCAAACGACAATATGTCATTAATATTTGAAATAAAATCAGTTTTTAGACAAGAATACATGTTTTGCAACTTACTTTCTTTTATCAGTAAATAAACTTCTAAACAATTTATTCATATCGACAAGATTTCTAACACAAATCAATCAATTCACAAAGAATTGATTTAATAATAATGAAAGAATCAATAGATAAAACTCCCTATATCCTCTCATTCAGGCATCGAAGAATATATTAGTGTTTTTTGTAACATAGAGAATTGTTTTTTCTTTTCACAAAATTACTGTTCAAATGATTATAGAATGCGAGTGCGACTCTTTTCTTCATCCATACGTCACATGTTTTTGAAGAATTGAGTGATATCAATTAGTGATAATATCCTCTTCGGAAATTATTTTTCATTTTATTAATAGTAATTTCATATGGGTGTACAGCTAATATTCATTATTTTGTCAGAAGAAACACCTTCTGACATAAATATGTTCTGTTCTCTTTCTCTAACTTCATTCTGTCATGCCTATGCTGATTCTTTTATTAATGAAAAGCTGTTTCGAGAAAATAACCGTGTTTTTTTTTAATAATGTTTAACCGCAGGTGATTTTTGAAGTCGATCAATGTGAGTCTCCAATCAGTTTCTCAAAATAATGTACTTGATTGTTTCACTAACCCATAAACATTGCTTCAAGAAAATAAAAAAGGTTTTTTAGTAAAAAGAATCAAGTAGACAATTTTGAGAAACTGTCTGGAGACTCAGATCATTGACCCCAAAAACCTACGTTCAAATATTATAAAAAACGGCTGTTTTTTCGAAACAATTTTTCGTTAACGAATAAATCAAATCCAAAATTTTCCATTATTCGGTTATCCAGTAAGTGGTAAAGTAACTTCTTTTGTAACACTAACTTCCTACCCGTAATTAACGCTAGTTGTTATACCAATTCTAAGTTCAACATCTGCTTGAAATTGGTGCATCCCTAACTGAGTTAATTATAATCGGTATTTTGGATATTCGACGCGGCGAACAAACACTCATACACATATGAGCGTGAGTTGTACACCTCTAACTTTGTTGATAATTCTTTGCTAGGAGTAAACTTTGAAAGAAAATATCTGACCATGGTAAGATCTATTATCTTAACTAGAAACATAAATTAAAATGTTTCGTTTAGAGCGAGAAAGTTTCGATAGATGTGAACTGTTTTGAATCACTCTGATGTAAGGAGTCGTTCCAATCGAGCTGAATTAAATGAAAATTTTAGTGCAACTAAACCTTACATATATCTAGATCTGTAATCAAATGATTTCTCTTGTTTTTTACTTAAATTAATTCGAAAAAGAAGAGATAAATCTATATATGAATAAAAGCCTATTGTAATGAAATAAAAATAAAAAATAAATACTTATGATTTAAATGTAAAGATGAATGTAGCGCTTTCTATCGACATTAATTTTTTTCTTTTTCTTGATTCCTATTCGCATAAAAACGTAAGCCAACAGAATTTTAAAAAACAATTTCTGACGATATGGATCTGATGTTATTATTATTTATGAAAAACCGATTTTTGATTATTCGAAAACGTTTAATTATGAAATTGAGTTTTTTCATAATTTTCTTAGTAATTTTTTATAAATGTTCTTACTTAGTTAAATCATCAGATTCAAAACGATATTCAATAAAATTATCATATTTACAATTACTTAAAGGTTATAATCATTCTTGTTTTTCACAAATTTAAATAAATAATATTAAAATAATTTCGTTTTACTTTTTTTTTTTGTCTGTGTAAATAGAAAGACAATTATTAAATGGAAAAAAACTTATTCCATATAATTCATTAATGGGTATAGCTTCATCAAATGTCAATGCTTATTCAAATGGTAATGATAGCTATTATTCAAATGAAAATCATTATTTATATGGAATATATATGGGATTAAAATGGCAATGTGTTGAATATGCACGTCGATGGACTTTTTTACGTAAAAGTTCGATATTTGAAAATGTGAAAGGTGCTAATGATATGTGGAATCAAATAAAATATATTCAAAGAGTTATTGATAAAGAAAAATTTCCATTAAAAAAACATTCCAATGGTTCTCCAAATCGACCGATAAATGAATCCTATTTAATTTATCCAATACAAAAAGATATGCCTTATGGACATGTTGCTATTATTGTTGATGTTTTACAATATAAAATTCGAATAGCTGAACAAAATTTTTATTTTACTTATTGGAAACATAATTATTGTCGAGAAATTCCATTTGTACAAAAAAATGGTCTTTATTATATTGAAGATGAATATCAAGTTTATGGATGGTTAGAAATTTATGATCAAAATCAATTAAAACCATTAGATAAATTAACAGTGGAAAAAATTCGAATAAAATATGAAAATAGTTAAGATTGAATTTCTTTTTCTAATAGTTTATATCATGTTTTTCAAATATTTATTTTCATATTATTGTGAAGACGAAATTGATTTAATTAAATTGAAATATTTCATAGGAATTAAATAAAGATTAAGTATGTTACTCGTCAATTCGATCTATCAAATCATCAGTTTAATAGTTTATTTTGTATCATATTACAAATAAATATCTTTCACGTCGGGTTACTTTCGAGTCAAAACTATATTCATCCTATAGGCTTACTTTTTTAGCACCCAAACTAAGACGAATGAAACGAAAACACGTTAGGAACAGACGAACATTCGTTCAGAATTTGGATAAAAGCCATGAACACGCTTTAGGTCAGTAGACGATCATGTTCTGAGCTATTTATTGGCAATATGTTCGCCTTGATTGAGAAAGTTTTATTTTCATATTTGAAGATTAGATTAACCAAAGAAATTGAAATCTTGGGAATGAAATAGTCTTATTAAGAACTTTCTCTTTGCAATTTTACAATTCGTAATTATCAAGTCAATATTTTAAGTGAACTTTAGAAGGATGATGACATTGTACTAAAATAAAATATGCCATAAAAATAAAATATCTCTTCAGAAATAAATAAGAGACATGAACTCTTCTTAATCTATTCAGAACTCATTATGAGCTATAAGATGAACTTAGTTTTTACACAAAAATAAATTGTTATGTAGAAATGTTTCTTGCTTGGTAACGTTAAATATTTAAAATAAAGAATATTTTACTGATTTTCGTCTCTCATTGAACATAGATTTCATTTGATTTTAATCTTTATTAATCGAGTTTGTAATAAACAGTTTCAATCGATAAAACTTTCTATCTTTAAAGTTGAAAAATCTTCTTTCAATGAGAAATAAATAGCGTCATTTTAATCAATTTTTTTCTGATTTCTCGTCAAAATTTGTTGGATACGCTATGCATCTTACGCAACTGATGACAATCAGAAATCTTGATGAAAACAATCTTTTGAAATTTTAATTTAGCCAATAAATAAAAATAGCGCATTGATTTGATTCAATGACATTCATCCACACACAAAATCAAATACATCATCACCTGCATTATGTGGCATGTGTATTATTAATCAAAAGGAGCAGTGTTAATTGTGCACTAAAATCACCAACGTAAGCTAAAAATAGTAACCGATCGGACTCTTTGAAACTGATTAGCGAACATTTTACTGATCAAAACTTTTTGTGAATTTAATAATAGACTTGAAGATGGTACAGTATCCACGAAAACCTTTTTCTCTTTCGGTTTGATGCGTAATTCAACTTTTCTCTCACGCTAATTTTTTCAAGCATTGAAATTATTTGATCTTATTTAACTCTTAATCACTTTGAAAATAATTTTTTTAAAATATTCTAATAAATGATAATAGTGTGTGTAGTTCCATCGTACAGAACTTCTTTTTGTAAGAGAAATATACTTTTTATAGTGCCAATCTGAACAAGACCGGCCCGGCCATCAAAAAGTAGCCCGATTTCGAGGTCTGATAGCTATCACCTTAATATTCAGTCTAATCCGAAATATGTATGAGTACCTCAGTACCATTTTACCGTAATTTGAAGCAAAGATGCAGCACTTACCACCTTGACTCAAGTAATACTTAGTTCACTATTTTCTTTTAATGTTCTAAAAATATTCACGGTTAATTTTTAATTTTTTTGTGAAATACATTTCTAAGCTTATAACTTCCTTACTAGATAAGCTAGGAAGGGTCAAACAATAGTTATTTTGTAGCGTGAGTTTTATCGCATCTTTTCATCATAAAGAGAAATTTAGAAACAAGTATTTCAGTTTGGAAAAATTTATTATACAAATCGAGTCAACATTTCTGACTCACCCTTTATATTACAGTTAGAATGTGAAACGGTATTAAAGGCAACACTAACTATATTATAGCAAAGATGCAGTTTATTAGGTAAGTTTTCGTCGAGACAAAGCATAAAATACAGTGTTAGGCGTATGGGTCAACAGAATTTCAACACCCCACAGCTACATACACACGCTTAAAATCTCCTTTTTCCTCTTTGGTATTCACTCATGATCAATCATAACTAAAGAAAATTGCAAGACTAGTTTCTCTCAAAAAATTATGCTTTAATAGAAAAAATAATAAGTAGGGACGCCACCAGAGGGGGGAAATCAATCTCTCCCATAAATATTGAATTATCTGGAGGAAGGTACAGATTAATTCGTTTTTTATTATTCAAAAAGTACTTTTCTTCTATGATGGTCCCCTTCCGTTCTATCAATCATGCAAAGAGCTCAGACTTAAACTTGTTATTATCATATTCTTTCTTTTTTCCAGAGCTCCGAAAGTTTTCATCAATACATGAAAAAAGACAAACCAGTAAACAATATAATTTTCTCCACAAAAAAGAAAGAAAAAAATAATTTCGTTTCTCCTTTTAAATCATATCATGTATCACGAATCGAAATACTTTCACAATATGATGAATGATTATAAAATGTTAAAGGATAATCAGTTGATTGATAACTTGCTGGTGAAACAGCAACTGTTAGATATGTTTGACGAAATATATGTGAAAAACAACAACGTTGTTTAGCTGCAACATTTATTTCTTTTTTTAAAGATTTTCAATTAATTGACAAACAACAAAAGTAAAATTTGCGGCATCAACTGGAGATACTGTACATAACATTTGAATTAGTACAAAGTAGAATATTATTGTCAAGGACTTTTACAACTTTTTTTTTTTTTCTGACGACTATCCTATCTTCATTGCTGTTTTATTTACTATGTATATGAACAAGATACTTGGATGCCAATGGTATGGTCTTTTCAAAAGTTTTTCCAAATTTTTAGACAAATTCTTGAAATCGGTCAAAAAAATAAAACATGATTAGCTCATGGGATTTCCAAGAGGGTAGAACATTTTTTTTAAAAAAAGACTCCAAACAAACTTTTAACAAATTGTTAGAAAGCATTGAACTTGATATAAATAATCAATGCCACATTCTTGAACATTTCTTGATCTTTATATTTTTTTTTTCAGCATCATCAGAATTTTTTTATCATGAAAAACGCCATCTATAATATAAAGTGCGAAGACTGAGTACAAACGATTATATTACAATGTTTATGAAACAAACATACGGGAGTGAAAGAAAACAAAAACCTTCAATTACAGAATGTATCCAGAGAATGAAATATACTTCATTAATATTAAAATAAAAACAATTTAAAGCGAAAAAATCTTTTCAATTACTACATGAAATAATTGGAATTCAAGAAAAATCCTTTTTTCTTGTCTTACGTCAAATATTTGCATTTTCTGATTACATAGAAAGTCACTTATAGCATATTTATCTTTATATAGAAGAGAATCTATTAGAGCCGTTGTTATTCTGCTTTCTGCGCACAGTAATGCATTAATACGATCGGTAGGATCTGATGTTTTTTTTTGCTATTCTATACAAAACATAGTTGCTTGGAAAAAAGAAAACCTATCCTCTTTGCCTATTTTCTTTCCTTGCTTTTTTTTTTCTCTGATTACTATTAACTTAACTTCAGTATTCTTGTGTGTTTATTCTAAAGATCAAAGTACGCTCTATCAAAATGCTGAGTATGATTTTGAATATTCTG